CCAGTACACTGAGTTCCTTGAAAACATCACAAACGATAGATTCAGCTGGGTTCTAGGTGACTCTTTCGACAAACCGATTTCTTTCAAATGAGTGTATCTCGCTAATTTCGTGCAATTTGGTTTCAAGTAGAAATAAGGACGAAGGAAACGTGTGGACTGCGCCCATCAGGAAGGACGAAACTGGTCGTAAGCGGCCGAACAATTCGCAGCAAGTTTATGAGTAGTTTATTATATCCAATCAGATTATTGTTCTGCTTGGCGAAATCGCATAACCATTGCTGGGCTCGCACGAGTCAGTGTAGACCGATTTCACAGAACAACCACCTAATAGAGAATAAGATCTTTAAGGCATAAAAAATGTTCACCATTAGGCCAAGCGGAATTCGAATCGAATTGACGAAATTTCAGATCCCCTCATGAGGACTGATTCTCATGCGCTTCGAACAAAACGTATTTCCAAACTACAGTATGAGTAGGGAATCCGAAAAAGGAAATTTTTTTGTTTTCCTAATTATCATTTGCTGCACGCTGTTCAGTCCGTCCATATTGTGGTTAATCGGGAATGTTTGCCTCAGAATTATTTAGCCAAACAATAATCAACGAGCATCATTAGTAACTCTAATTGGGCTTGCCCTCAGAATTCCAAGTGTGAAAATTGGCCAAAGACACTAACTGTGAGGTAGAAACTCGTCTGGATAAGACCTTGAAATTTACCTCGTGCGAATCTTACGATAACTATTGCATATAATTCCGAAGAAAAAGGGAAAAACCGCATGTCGCTTTTACGAACTTTGAGCCTATGCTGTCACGTTGGTCACGGGGAACTCGAAGAGTGGTAGGGTGTCTTTTTGGTGTGTACGCTTACCTTTCCAAGGGACAATATAAAACGCACAATCATTCTACTGCGTATTTCACTCTCGAAAAATCTACTGAATTGTCTTTTTATTGGTCGCCCACAACACCATTTCTATTGGCCAAATGACTCAACATGTCGTATATATGGGAAACGAAACGCATCGCATCGCTCATTTTCTGACAGGAAAAATGAATCATCTTTGTCAAATACTATGGCTAGTGATCATTCGACCTCACGGTTCACTAGGAAGGACCTCTGGTAAGTTTCGCGCAATCAAATAAGGATCATGTAGTGTGTGTATCTTGAACAGTTCGCGTATGTTTTACAATCTTTGCCCTACTCGTGAATAGTGTAATCAACGTTTATGAAAATGGCACTGCGATTCTGTAATCACCACTGTCTATCACATAAATTTAGTTTCAGCCTTGAGCCGTATCCTCGACGCCTATGCCCCTACAAGTGAGTTCCTCGTAATCTACTGTTACCTGAACGGTGATCTTTGATTCGTAGATCCTTTATTCCGGTGGTATCATGAAGATATCATCTCGGCGTTTGATGAATATTTTATGTCATTTTCAGAGATCATTTCATGGAAATTTTGCGTGGCAATGAGGAAAGTGCTAGGCGAGTGGCATATTCAGTGCATCCAGCTAACGACTGTGTCGCTATGATACCGAAGGTTTATCAGGGAGAATTGTTAACACAAAATTATAGCTTCATAGAAGGACATTCGTCATACGTCAGAAAAAGTTAATTTTCAAGAAAGGGTTTGAATGTGGCATTTGGCAGCCAAAACGATTAGAATACTAAGTCGGCGGTGTGTATCTGGTAGTCCTAATGTTCATTGTTACGTGCACGGTGAATTATGGAATCCTCGAACAAGGGACATCTTCGACGAACGAAATGAGCCTATAGCAAGACAGTGATCATTTCTGGTTCGAAAGCACTAGATTGCGCCTGATTCTTTGTACAGATCATACTTGCATATAGAAAATTACTTTTATGGGTCTGCCTTATTTCTTTGAATCATCTTATCTACTGATGTCAGCTAAATTAATCACACACTTTAGTAAATGATCCAGGAGTCATTCAGAACTATGGTAATACACTGAATTAGCTGCCCTCGTTTTGGGCAAAACGCAGATATAATGCCTGGATAAATGATTTGATACCTAGTTTGTCGATTGTTAAAATCCAATATGCATAACTCTAGCAGCTCACGCAACGACATTTGGAAGGGATAACTCCTGTAACGCCGTGAAAGTTACCACCACACACCTTGAAACGGACGGCTAAGTGCTATATGATACTGATTTTGAAAAGTCTTTTAAAATTAACCTAACCTGTAGGCTCACCTTGGGAACTGACTCCAACCTTTTGGTTCCTCGTGCAACTCAGCGCAATCGTAATCTAACTGATCGTGGTCACAAGCAAATCTTCGTTTAGCCGAACAAAAAGTAGAATCGTTTACAGATGCTGACGAATATACGTAGGAAAACACCTGAGCTAGGCGAAACAGAGGCATGCTTGAATTCACCAACCGGCTTTATCAACGAACTCGTCTCTTGTTTGTAATTCCCAGATGTTACCCTGTACTCAGTCGGGCCTCTAAACAACGTGCGTCAGCCTCAGGCTTACCATTAGTCAATAAGATTCTAAACTACACTGGGTCAACTAGTTGAAGCACGCCTGTGAAGGACTCAGCTTGGAGACGTAGGGCAGCAGGCTGGCGGTTCTGACTGATCGTTGGTAGTGTTTCAGCAAATCCTTATCCGTCATCAGAAAAGCGGCAGCACCAGCTGCTTTAGGTTTCGGAATATATTTTCAATATACTAACTGTTCGCATTTTTTAAATATCTGCTGAATACTTGGGAGAACCATTTGCTCCTGTATCTAGACAGATAGTAGTATGCACAACACATGGAACTAACATTATCCCCCCTGTATTTTCCTGTTTTTCAAACAGCTCCCGCTATTTTTCCATTGAAGATCATACCTTATATGCTTACAGACTAATTTATAATGCGCACATAGAACAACAGAAAATACGCTTTGTAAGCTCCTTTTGGGAGTGATGCACCATAGCACCTATATCGTCCCAGACATAACTGAATGCGGGGCGCTTCCCTGACTGGTACACCTCAGTCACGATGAGACGACCGTTGTTTGGTAACGTCCATAATACCTGCCAGAATACAATCTACGGCAATGCATATTATATGGTCTCAACTTTCCTCAGTACGCCGCTCGCCATTTCGTGTACAGGATACGAACATACAGTAGATAACATTAAAAAAACACAAAAATACTGTGTCGACGATAAACGAAATTATATATATATATATATATATATACTGTCGCGGGTGCAAAGGCGCAGTGTTTTCTAGCTTGGATCCTGAAGAGCAAACCGTTTTTGCTACTCAACCCAAAGCGCATAGCACGAGGATAATCAGCACGTCCCCAAAATGTGGCTACCCAAGCTAACAAGACGTATCGAAAAACGCCAAACTTTCAACCAGGCAAGAGGTCAGTCACGATATTTATGGTGTTGCAATATCCAAGGCAAACAGACTCTGTCTATCATTCTGGGAGCAGCGTTTTAATAGCTATTTTTACTAGCAACGTAGCCAAAGCGCCCATGTTAAACCCTAAGCAAGTGTTGGTATGAGGCATCGTCATCTCGGTAGAAATAAATAGCCGTCCAAATCACTAGCCTTCAGTGGTAACGAAGCTTACACCTCAGTAAAAAGACTTAGCAATAGAAGCGCACCTATTTGTAACAAGTCAAATGTCATCATCATCGACAGCATGACATCAGTGTTCAACACCGACTCTTCACTGCCGTAGTTGTAAGTGTGTCGTGGTTGTACGTGGACTGGGATACTGTCAGGGTGCCCACACCTGTACAGGAGGACGATTAAGGTTCTCAGCCAAAGCCTAACCGCAAGCAGCGGTGTTTGGCGGGAAATGCAAATATGTTACCATTTCCATGGAACAAGTCGCCCCAACCAGGAGAGCCAGGAGACAGTGTTTGTCAGATCTCTGACCACTGACAAACCTGGTATGAAAGACTCTGCGAGTCTCGCGGGGACACTCTTCAGTATAGTTTAATGAATCGCTGAGGTGCGCGCAAACCGTCACTCCATGGTAAGGTCCAGTCTCTTCGTGACGGACGACCAAATGTAGTCAACAAGGCCATTTAAGTCAAGTTTACGACAGCACATTAGAGTGTTCCTTTAAATATTAAACAGTTATTGTATAAGCAACAAAATGCAAATAAACCGCGTCTTTCACAAGGCATGCTTCGGTACGAGCGTTTATGTTTACCGTGCAAACAACGCCAACATTTTCACATCTGCAAAATAATCCACTAAAATTAAGAGAAAAACATATAGCTTGTTAGTCTTTCGGGTTTTATGATCACATTCGGGCAGCCACGTTACTGGAGTATATTGTATATTTTTTGGTTTGTTTGATTCACGTCCCATGTAAACGTATCCAACTAAATTTTAGAGGAATTGAATTGAAATATGATTAAAGGGCTAGCACTCGAGGTAGAATTTGCTGTTGCATGGGTCCGTTAGTTTCCCTAATGTTTCGAGTGAAATTGAGAAGCCCATGATGATGCCGCACAACATATGGATTTATTTTACTCTCAACACCAGCTGGATCTACAAAAATAATTTTTCGCTTCCATTAAAGTTTATTTCTTCCGTAAAATTTTAAACTTTCTCACACTTTGCTTTCTTCAGGCTGGTGGACCGATGGAGACCTTGCTAACCATACGTATGCAAGTGTCGGAGATACACATGCAAGAAACAGTGAGAAAATACGTCATGCACATAAGGAAAGCACTTATCAAACTGAAAAGCGTGTGAATAGGATCAGGTTAGTTGAGCACTGCGAAAAAGCTTCCGATATGAGCATGCAAGACCGCGTTCTATACGAATGTACCTTGTGTAACAAAAAGTTTCCGAGGAAGTGGAGACTTGAGCGTCATAAAAGAACACATTCTAGTATAAGACATTATAGCTGCAGGCACTGCGAGCAAAAATATGCATACAGATGGGGTCTACAAGAACATCTAATTCGGGTCCACCAGGACAAGTGTTCCGGTAAGAAAATTCAGCAACACGAATGTCGGATGTGTCCAAAAACGTTTTTGAGAAGAGATCAGCTAATTCAACATATGCGTGCCCATTCAGGGGAGAAACCGTTTGGTTGCGAAATCTGCGAAGCGTCGTTTTCTGTTTACGGCAACCTCCAGCGACATCGTCAAGCGATTCATTCGAAGACAAAGGACACGCAACGGCGTAAAATATCCCACTCAGCTCAGGTCAACGATTCTTCTGTTTCACGTGATATTCAGTGGAATACCTCCGAGGGATCGAGTGATCTTGCTTGCTCTATTTCATTTGCCAAAAAAGAAAAAGTGTTATCTAAAGAAAAAGGGAAATCGGTTGGTGATCCTCTCTCAACGGCTGATGGAACGACACCATCGAGTCATTTCGGCAGATGTCCCGTATGCGGAAAAACCTTTGTCAACAATTGGAACCTCAGGCGCCATGCGGTTTTACATACAAACAGAGCCTTGCATGAATGCGACATATGTGAGCAGCAGTTCAAACACAAGGGTGGTCTGAAAGATCATCGCCTGTTGGTTCACTCAAACCGTGACGATAACGATTGCAGGGAAGTACACAGGTGCCGCGTATGCAGGAAGCCGTTTTTACGCAAGGACCTCTTAGGACAGCATCTTCGTGCGCATTCCGACGAACGTCCATTTGGTTGTAATTTGTGTGGAGCCAAATTTACTTTAGCCGGCAACCTTAGAAAACATCAACGTACGCTTCACCCACAGGAAAGCTCTTCAACAGAGTCCAGCGCAAAACCGACGGATTCTCACCGTTGACAGAAAAACCAAACATCATAACTATCTTGTATTACCTTTTCTCCAAACACAATGTCTCAGACAACCGTGGTTCTCCCTAAGTGATTTTTGGTGGTGTTCGCATATGTGTTACGGGATAAGGGACTTCAGCGCAATCCAGCGTGTTAATTATCCAGTTAAATAAGGACGCACAAGAAGCTGCCACCATAAATCCCGAGACGCCTTCCGAAATTGACTTGGTTTACATTCCCAACCTGTATGTATCCAGAGGTGATGGGACACACTGGATTTACAGAGGATTTACATGAAGCACTGCCGTCAAAGGTGTCAGGTCTGTTGCGATGCTTTAAACAGGTACTGAACTGGTTTTGTGTCAACGTTTTCTGGACGTTATCCTGTTCGGTTGTGTAGGTTTACTGGGAAAATCTCGGTTTATGGCCATCGGCTCGTGCTTTATCAGGGACCGGACGTATGGCCGTGACTTTGCAAAGCGTGAATGCATATGCAGTTATAATCCTCATGGTGCTCTTGTCCAACATCCCTCAATCGACTGAAATGGTTATACTCAAAGCACATTGGTTCCGGAGGTTACTGGCAAAGTTGACGCAGTGTGCACTCTATAAAAGACGGTTTTCCAATTTGAGCTTTGGTGTTTGCTTCCATAGTGTGGCAAGGTAGGCATTAGCCTACGTAACATTACAAGTTTTACCCCCGGGCTTTTCCGTACAGTTCGTTCTTGTCACCTCAACCATCAAGCTTATGACTGAATATGGTCACTGTTATCCCTATCACTTTAACCTGGTCATCAGAATCGCCCACTGTGTCAGTGTCTAACAGTTTGGGCAGTATTCTTTGCTCGCTTGTCTTAAAAGCGGTGTAGAAAACTGGATTACGTTATTAAACTTCAGTGAGGGGACTAAGAAACAATTATATGGCCGGCTATCGGAATGATTATGAAAAGCGCAAAAAATGAAGAATTTTCATCCAAACTGAAGCATTGTGTTTCACGATTTCGAAACAATATCTGCATTAGAACGTCTTCGTGAATTCTGATAAGCTGATTCTGGTCATCACGAAAACGTCAATTAACCAAACAACGGGATATACCTTATCCCAATCCACCTGAATTTAATGGGACGGTGGTCAGGTTAGAGAACGCTGTCTAATGGGAGAACACGGACGACAACAACGTTGACTGGAGAATAGTATTGTTTGAATTCTAGTCTTCTTGTCACTCTGTTCGGACAGATTACGTCCTCCGGGCAAAACTTTATCAGGTACGTCTGATTTAGGTTCCAAAATGCACCGGCATACACAAAAAGAAATTCCGCTGTCAGAAAACTTTGGTTGGAAGAAGTGTTCCTCTAATGAGGCAAGCTCAGAAATGAAGTATAACTAAAGGAGTGAGTAACAATTATTGCGAATAATCCAAGAATAACAGTACATGCCAAATCAACTCAAAAAATTTAGCTTTAAGGGACTTTCATGCAGTCGGTTGACGAGAGTTTTTAGTCATTCTGATCATTCCTTGCCCGGTTTATAAATCAGGAAATTCGTTGACGGTGTCTTTTTAAAAAAGCTTCCGGTTTTAGTTTTTGCGAGTTCGGGCACAAAGACCCCTTTTGGGAAAACTATTTTGGGCCCGAAAAGCTGCACGGTACTCAGCCGGAGAGTGAACGCTATTTGTTTGCCAAGTCTTGACTCGTACAACAATGTAGATTACGTCGGTTTATGCGCAATTTCACAATGAGGCGAGCATAAGGCGAACTGTTGTACACTAATACTTCCTACGGTTCGCACTCGGTGAATATTCACTGCTTAGAAGTAATCAGGCAATGTGTTTATCGGACAACTTTTACACAGCATCCCATCATAGCCGACTATATTTTCGGATTTCCTTGCTTTTTTCTTCATTTTCAGTCAGAACTTTTTGCACATACAGTTCCTTTTTGAGCGTACCTTCCAGGTAGACGCAAAACAGTATGAATAGTACACAATTCCAGATCGTAAGAGTGCCGACATTTGCGTTTATTTCGTGATGGAGACATTCGAACATTTCCTCCGGTATATTGCCTGAGGCTGTTAAGCACCTTAATGACATAATCTTGGTTCCAGACTATTGGCCAGAGATAACTCCTAAAAGGCGATTAGTGAACAACACCTAGGTTTTGTCTGGACCTAAGCAGTCGGGTACACAATCCCTAATTCCAGTTCCACACTTGCTGGTCATTCTGGAAGGCAAGACGACCGCGGATTGATATACCTTAATCACTTGCCATCCTGAGTGAATAGGGAGATACAGGGTGTCAATTCCACCGTGTCTGGTCTAATGGCGAATAAACAGCTCAGAGATACCTTCTCATCAACAAATAGAATACAAGTTTGACGGAAACTAGGCGACTGTGGCTACGTGCGCCAGAACTGGTGGTGGGCTGCCGACGATATTTATAGCAAACTTAAAGGTGTGTTATGAGCATATTCCGTCAGCAATCTAAAAACGATCCATTAAACCAGTAGACCACCGACCTCCGCCAGAGCAGAGCCATGAATTGTCCCTGGATTGTAAGTGGCGCGTTCAGTGACTGCAAGTCCACGAGTACGGCCTTACTTTTCGTGGGTGCAAAGTATATACCAAAAGACGGAATGACTTTTGTCATTTCATCCAGAAACACATGCGCCTGTTTCTGCATATTCCAGATGACAACGTTTTCGTCACAACCTATTTGAACAATGGGGGTTTGGAGACTTTCCAATCAATCATCAATCACATATTTAAAGAGGAATGGAGAGAATGGACATCCCTGATGGACATCGTTTTGTGTGCGGAAGCTTTTGGGGGCTTTTGTAAACTCTCACTAGCGAATACAAACAACTTGTTATGATCACACACTTTCCGGGCATTCGTTGACGTTCATGCGTTGATGGTCGAGGAGAACAGACCAATCAACCAAGTCGAATGTGCTTTGGAAATCAAAAAATACTAAAATTGTGAGTTGTTTGAACGTATGATTTTGTCCTAACACATGATGAAGTGGAAACGTTGGTCAGAATCCCGCTTTCTGCTCTCGAGCTGGTGGTCCATGAGCCACCACAAGGCGACGAAACAGAAGTGACGTCAACAATCTCTCCCTGTAATTACTACACTCAGTACAAGCCCATTTTTTAAAACCGGTACTATCACTGATTCTCCCCCCTTGTATGGGCCAGTCTCATTTTATTCGGATGCAGGCAAACACGCCTGACAAGCCTTGACCGAGGAATCCACCCCGTTTTTAACAATGCGGGTGCGAGGTCATCCAAACCAAGAGCTCGGTCGTGCTAAAGAGAACACATGCAGTCATAACGCTCTAAGGCTGTATGGGTTCCACTTTTACCGTCCAGAGTGCTGCGTCGATTTTAGCCTCCATATGAGCAGTATCTGACGGCCACGAGAATTGTAGTTCGAAGTATTCGGCCCACCAGTCAAGGCGTTATTCTTTATTCGAGATGACCATTGTGTTCTGATCCTTGTTGCTTTTGCTCCCAGGCGGTTTCCGGAGACCGGCTGTATTATCAAAAAAGAAACTTGAAATATTAACTCCAAGGTCCGCCCAGCTATTTAAATCCGGACTGGCCGCTTCGTCTTCGTATTAGAACCACAAGTATTGCTTTTAATGTACATTGTTTTGATCATTGCCCAGACTCACAAAGTTTGAGACAAAACCTACTGGGCAGACTGCACATCCACATACATCTTGTGCAGAAAAGAAAGACTAAACGTTTTTTGTGCTATGGAGATTTAATTGCAACGCATAGCACTACCATGAAGACGAAGGTTACGTTTTATAAGGAAGCAGGAGAGCATTCTGTTCATCGCTACAGTCAGGACAGATGGCGATAGCCGTCAGGTACGACAAGATGTGTCTGATTTTGTTAAGAGATCTCAATTAAGAGGTGTCGGGAAAACAGAAGTCTCAAACAAAAACGGGTAGTAAGACATGTTCTAGTTGCATAAGTTGAAGGGCAAGGAACGGTTTTGCTGAGATGGACAATGGCTTCGTAAAAGTACATTTATTATGACATGAGTTGCATAAGCTGCAGATAGAGATCCTCGAATAGGTCAACTACTCAACGGTGTCCTTGTACCACCATAATATGGTCGATGCATTGTTCAATTCAGGTTGGAAGTGAGGAGGTCCAAACGCCGTATATATTTCACAGAACCTACGAAACTTTTTCTCAAAAGCGTAGAAACATATGCGGTGCTGCACTATGTCAATACACTACCGCTTGACGTGTCCTCACTTGTGTTCAGTTCAGAAAATTAACTTTGAAGTTAAGTTAGCTGGCCACTGGATGTTTTGTATGCTTTTCAGAATTTCCCCTGTCTCCGATATTCAGGAGTATGTCGGAGACGTCTTATCTGGACTTCGCATAAACTGGTTGTATGTGAGTACGTATAGGATGTGGATTTTCATTTCGAAAAAAAATGTCCAACCTTAAGCACCCTATGCCGCAAAAGGTAGCTGGTGGTTCAATGATCTTCCCGGCTCGTTAATTCTACCTAATACATCCTAAGCTTGCATCTAGGTTAATTTGATAAAGTTCCACAGCGTGGATTCCGTCAGGCACTTGTTTACTTCTCACAAACTTCACTCAAAATGCCCATAATTGAGCTTTTACACATTCTATGGTGGCACTTTCTTTAACCCTTTATTTGGAAAAAGCCGCCAGTTCAACACACTTCAATCCTTGTATATTGGTGATGCATTGGGCCCTATATTCGTGAACACTCTCGGCGAACGTCTGCCTATCCACACCACTTCACGGCAAATCTTATTTGTTGCTGAAGAAATGTGGCTTATTCAAATCAAAGCCTATAATTTAACGTGATACTTTGAGTGTCAGAAATGGGTTATTCTTGCACCCGCAGATCCTCCGATAATGGAATTGCACCCGGGAAGATTAAAATGTCACACGCGCATCACTAACCTCAGGTCACTAGTCACATCTTTTTTTGTCGTACAATTGATCGATGGGCCCTTCGTGGCAGATGACTTCAGACAAGCTCCGCTAACAGCTAGAGTTGGCACTGTAAGGCGAACATTTATCACAGAATTTG